TCATTGAATTCAAAACATAATTGTTCTTCGGTCTCCTAACAGTTAGGCATTCATACTTTTTTTAATGTATTTGTTAGTAGAAGTATGTATTTTTGTTAGAAAAATATAATGAATTGATCGCCTAACGATTATGTTGTTTGATATAAGAATTTGTGTTTTTGAAGTATAAATATCTGTGTATGAGTGAAAAAGGAAAAAAAAAGGAAATTTTCCTAAATTTTCTTTTGACATCAAACAATTAATGTATTTATTACTATTATTATTATTATTATTATTATTATTATTATTATTATTATTATTATTATTATTATATTTTGCTTATTCAAATATGAAATGAATATCAAGCTAGAACGACAGGATACCATCATATGAGACAATCTCAAAGTTTATTTCTTTTAGTAGGTTTTTTTATTATCCAGCATACTGCATATTTCATAACTGTTATATAGCACAACAAAATTATATATTCTTTTTAAGAGCCATAATTTCTACAACCACCTGCCTAAGAATATAGTAGCATGATGGTGTCCAAAGTGTGCTCATTGGCAATATTGAATGAATTATATAAAAGTCTAAAGAAATAGTAAAGTCAAATTTACATTTGAATTGTCTCCCTTATACAATATTTGGCTCTAAAAATATTTGAATTTGAACGGTTTTATCTTTTATTATAAATACAAAAGGTTTATCTTTATTCTTTGCTAGTTAATTAATAATCTTTGCATTATTAAGTTTTAACTCGTGAAATTTGAAATGGATTTGAATCCTTCCATCCCAATCTATTATCTTTTTATATATATTCTAAATTTTTTAATAAAACAATAATTAATTGTTATGTGGCCTGTAATAGTAACATAACTAGTATTCGACCTGTGCATTTGCACAAATGTAAATAAAGTATTGTGAGTTATTTGTATGCATATAATGATTAAATATTTTTCTTTCACTTTTTTGCTGGCCAAGTTTACAATTAAAGGAGTTGAAATCTATTTTTTGTTTTTAAATTGCATTTATCTTATTAGATGTAATGTATATTTTGGTACGTCTTTTTTTTGTGAATTATTTATTATTTATTTAAAAATTTCAAATGCGTTTTTTATTTTAAAAATAATAATAATATAAATTTAACCACAATTATAACATCTAATCACATTATACGGTAAACACATTATATGGTCAACTGTCAATAATCAAAAGTTTAAAATGATTTTTGTAATTTTGAAGTGATTAGTGTTGATTATTTAATAACTAAATGAAAGATTAAATACATCAAAAGTAACGGTTTTTGGAGGGAAAAGGGTTAATTGCCACATAGATAAAATTAAATTGGTTTTATTAAATGCTATTAGCTAGCTAGTAATTATATATATATATATATATATATATATATATATATATATATAAATTTCGGGGGATTATGTTATGTGGCGGTGGCCGATTTTTCTCCGGAAGTTGCTTTTTGTCATTTAATGGGACGATTTTATTACAACATGAGTGAATTGTACAGTAAGATGCAAAGGAGTTTGTGATTTGTATATAGAATGAAATATTTAAATTTAATAACTTGTTGTGTTGTATATAATATGGGAAATATTTAAATTTAATTAATATTTGTGGATTTTGCAAAATAGCTATTTTAAATTTAAGTGTGCATTTAATTGAGATTTTTAAAAAAATTTGAAGAATTTTTAAGACTATGAAAATTATGGTATAATTTAATTTAGAGTTCTCAAGACTTACAAAAGTCCTGAGATATTCATTTGGTATTCATCCCGATGTATTTAATTATTTGAGATTAAGATTTGTTAAAACTTTTTAAGATTTGTTGAAATTTCTAAAGAAAGAAGCATATACTAAAACTCATTACAAATCTCACATCCAAACTTAAAATTTCACAAGATTCCTCTAATTTAAAATTTTCAAATCTCGAATAGCCTTTAAATGTAACTCAAAATTCCAAACGAATACACCTACTTGTCATGGATTTTACAAAAGCTACTTGCTAAAGAAGTATGAATATCTAGTTGCCACTTAAAATTGGTAAATTTTACTAAATGTAGTTAGGACTATATTGTCGAAAAATTTTACTAAAATAAAAAACAACTTTAGTTACTAAAAAAGAAAGTATCATAAATTAGTGAGAATAAATAAATAAAATATTGTGAGTGAATCAATTTTTTGATAATAAAAAAAAATTATTTTCGAAATTCAAAGGTACTAAAGATAATAAGGAAAAAAAATAAATGTAACGGCTACACAGTAAATGAGGTTTTGACCAATATTAACATAGCAACACATTAATACAAATCAAACATGTTTTTATAATAAAATAATAAAAAAAATAAAATTGAAAAGTAACGGTTTTTGGCGGGAAAGTGCCACGTAGGTATAATTTAATAAGTTTTATTAAATGCTTATGAGCCAGTAATTATATATATATAGATGATAGATAGTTATAAATAGTGAGTTGATAAAGATAAAAAAATAAGGGTTAATTGCATTAAAAACCCCAACCTTTTGTTGGGTTGCAAATTAAACTCCACTTTTTAAATTTGGCAACAAAATACCACACTTTTATTAAGTATTGCAAATTTGTCTCGAAAAAAAATTCCGGCAATGAAAGCTGACATGGCTGATCGGAAAGTTGATGTGGCACTCAACAATTTAATTGCAGCACCACATCATCTCACACGTAGGACTCCATGTCATATTTATTTCTTATTCCTTAAATTTATACTTTTCCCATTTTATTTATTTTGATTTTTCAGAAAGAACCAAAAAATCGCGCCCTTCTCTTCTGCTCGATCAATCGCCACTTCTCAATAATAGGAAAATTAAACAAATGTACAAAGAGATAGCTCCATTGATGAAGCACAACAGCAACTTAAACAACTACTCCAAATGTTATGAGCAATAAGCCTTGATTTTATCAGTAAAAAAAATTTGAACAAATCATTCACCGAAAAATATACACATACATTCATTCCCAAACTCAATTATGTAGAAATCAGGAAATTCACAATATTGCATATAATGTATAATTGTGACCCATCAATAAATTCACACAATTTATTGAAAAATTTAATAAATTCACAATAAATTCAATAAATTACATCTGCACGTATTCAAAATTTTAACCCAACATCTTCATCAAACTTCTTTTCATATCAACAACATCCAAGTGAATTCCTCGAGAATTGGGGGAATTCGAAATTAGAGAAGAAAGATACGTATCTGTTAGGGTCTTAGGGTTGTGTTGACCGTAAAATTTTAGGGATCTTGATTTGGAGGCGATATGATTTCCTCAAGCATAGCACCACTCGATTTCAGAGGAGAAGAATCAAGATCCGCGGCAGATTTGCAATGACGAGAAGGGGCAATCGAGCAGAAGAGAAGGGGCGTCGCGATTTTTTTTTTCTTTCTAAAAAATCTGGCTGCAAAATAAATAAAATGGGGAAAGTATAAATTTTAGGAATAATAAATAAAAATGACATGACGTCCTACGTGTGAGGTGATGTGGCGCTGCAATTAAACTGTTGAGTGCCACATCAACTTTCCGATCAACCATGTCAGCTTTCATTGCCGGAATTTTTTTTCGAGACAAATTTGCAATACTTAATAAAAGTGTGGTATTTTGTTGCCAAATTTAAAAAGTGGAGTTTAATTTGCAACCCAACATAAGGTTGGGGTTTTTAATGCAATTAACCCAAAAAATAATGATTGACGGTTATAAATATTGAGTTGATGAATATTTTAAAATAATGATTGATAGGTACAAATAGTGAATTGGTAAATACTACATGGTTCATTCCATGGCAAATTTGACACTGAGGTCTGTTTCCTTAGTTTTTTCCACGACTTCTTCCTCTATATGGTTCTCTTCCTCCTCTACCACCTGACCTCCATTTTTGTGTCCTCTAAACTGGGTGAAGTTTTGATTAAAATATCTCTTAGTACTCTGAGTAACCACATTTGTATAGGGCTGTGAACCTTCACAGTTCACAACAGTACCTTGGTTTAAGTCCAATGTCTGATATACATCAAGTCAAAACGAAAATAAAAAACAAAAACAAGAGAAGAAAACAGATAAAGCTGATAATAGCAGCAAAGAACACGAAAATTTCAGGTCCTGGTCTGGGAAGAGTCCAGGCGAAGAGTCAGTATCACGAGAGATCAGATACAACAAAAGGTAGGACTGGCTACACAAATCGGAATGAAGGATATTCCATCTAGTCCATCCGTATAAGGGTACGGAGGCAGAGAGAAATATCGTCAGAGTAATGAATGCACCTCTGGGGAGTGGAGGACCCGATGCCAGCGAGGAAGTCAGCAGGTCGGTTCTCCTCGCGAAAGATGTGCGAGATCCAAAAGTGAATCGACCGAAGAGACTCTAATACGCATGAGAGAAGCTTATATACTATACATTGCTTTTGGGACCACATGAGCTTGCATGACCATGTGGGTTTTGTCTTCACGTGCTGCATTGCTTTCTTTAGGGGTGAGCAAAAATCGAGCCGAGCCGATAAATTCGGTGCGGTTCGGTTTTTTAAGACTATCTTTATCCCTAACTCAACCCAACTCAACCCAACTCAACCTAACAATTAAAAATTATTTCTCTCTCCTCCACCTACACAACTCAACTTTACAACTCAATTTATCTTTATCCCCAATCCAACTCAACCTAAATATTTATTTTATTTTAATTTATTTAAAAATTACAATTTTATTTCAAAATATATCAAGTGTGGTCTCTACGTGTAGAGAATGAAAAAATACGAGCTTTAATATTATTCAAACTATATAT